AATTTAATACACATATTAATTTTTATAATTTGAATTATTTGTTTGCCTTCATTGTATAAATTTAAAAAAAAGTGATGAGAGCTTTTGTATCCTCACCTACATTATAAAACTGGTCATTCAAACTCAGAGTCTTTAAAATACTATGAGGGACTACTTCTTGCACATATCAAGTTTTCCAGGTAAAAAGATAAATCAAGTACTGATATTTAGATTTGTTCGAAAATGACATTAACGTTGTATATACAAAAGATTTTGTACGATAGAAATGTGGGATACATATAAAACATGGACCACTTACAGTTTATTATGCAGTTAATCCTCCTGTCCTTACTCAGTTACTCAAAAAGTCATTTCTTTCAAAGACATATCCATGTGAGTTTCATTATACAACACTTGAGATGGAACATCATAGACTTTCAAAAAACTTTTTTTTTGAAATCTGGCTAATCCTCCGCCTGCGGCGCCAGCACCCCGGGTTCTAGTCCTGGTTGGGGTGCCAGATTCTGTCCCGGTTGCTCCTCTTCCAGTCCAGCTCTCTGCTGTGGCCCAGCAGTGCAGTGGAGGATGGCCAAGTACTTGGGCCCTGCACCCGCATGGGAGACCAGAAGGAAGCACCTGGCTCCTGGCTTTGGATCAGCGCAGCACGCTGGCCATAGCAGCCATTTGTGGGGGTGAACCAATGGAAGGAAGACCTTTGTCTCTGTCTCTCTCTCTCTCACTGTCTAACTCTGCCTGTCAAAAAAAAGAAATCTAAATTAAGAAAAAGTTATTTTCTATAGGGCTTTGTTTCCATTTAAACAACCATTATACTTGAATTAAATTCCTTTGAGAGTGTGGGCTGTGCAGGAGTGCAGTGATTCTAAATGACCAAGAAGACTCAGCTTATTCACTTGGTCATGCTTGTTTTTTGTTTGTTTGTTTGTTTTCTTTGTTTCTTTGTTTTTTTAAAGGCAGAGTGGACAGTGATAGAGACAGACAGAGAGAAAGGTCTTCTTTTTTCCGTTGCTTCACCCCACAATGGCTGCTGCGGCCAGCCCAGCGCACCACGCTGATCTGAAGCCAGGAGCCAGGTGCTTCTCCTGGTCTCCCATGTGGGTGCAGGGCCCAAGCACTTGGGCCATCCTCCACTGCACTCCCGGGCCACAGCAGAGAGCTGGACAGGAAGACCAACTGGGACAGAACTGGTGCCCGGACTAGAACCCGGGGTGCCAGAGCTGCAGGCGGAGGATTAGCCTATTGAGCCGCGGCCCCAGCCCATGTTCAGTTTTAAGTCAAAGAAAGTTGTGAGTCACATGAATGAAATGCTTTGCTTTGACTCTCTGAAGACAAAGGCATTCCTGATTTTTTTTTTCTTTAGTGCCACTAGCAATTAAATTCAGCAAAAACATGACATACTGTCCGTGAGGTATCTCTTTTACCTAATCATCAGCAAAGCACAGGTTACAGGGTATCAACCAATCTTAAATCTTAGGCCCCTAACTACTGGGTACTAAATTTAAAACATGCATTTTCAGAATATTAATATTGGCACTTTGTAATTTGACAGAGTCTTTTATACAAAGATTTCAGGAAACTTAGAGTTACTAATTAAACTTATTTGGGGTTTAATTTCTTTTTAAATGTGTGGAGAGAATTTCATATTATATCTGATTATATATTAGTTATGCACAAATGATTCTTTAAAATTATAATTTGCTCTTTTGCTTAATTTAGAAAATAATTATGAGATCTATGACTAAACAGATAGATTACATTTTTAGCAAATTTTCCATGTGAATAAGTTAAATATTTGAAAATTCATCAGATGCAAATATGGATTATACCTCATAGGGTGGGAATAACCATGCTAGGCTTCAAATCCCAAGAACAACCATCATTTCCATTTCCTTAGTCACCCTCATTATGAGCCTTTTTAGGCTATATCAATCTATCCTGGGTTATACATTTTTATTGTTATTTCTTAGTCAAATATTACTATAGATCAAGCATTGGCCCAAAAGTTAAGACACTTGCTTAGGATGTCCACATTCCACATCTGAGTGTCTGGTTTAAGTCCTAGCTCCTCCATTTCTGATCCACTTTCCTGCTAACAGGCATCCTGGGAAGCAGCAGATGATGGCTCAATTATTTTGCTCTTTGCCACTCACGTGTGAGCACCAAATTGACATCTGGTTTCCTAGCCTTAGCCCAGCCTAGCCCTGGCTGTTATAGATATTTGAGACATAAGCTTGTAGAAGGAATCTCTCTCTTTCTGACTCTCTTCCTGCTTTTAAATGTAATGACAATAAAAATGTAATTAAAAAATCTTGCTTGCTTGCTTCCTTCCTTTTTGCTTTATTAATTGTTGTGACCTATTGTATCTAACGTGTTACTAAATTTATCCAAATAAAAAATAATTTCTTAAATGCATTGACATATTAAGCCTATGAGAAATATTTTTCAAGATTATGTTTTAGCAATACCCAACTTTAAACATACCTGCATATGAACTTTCTTGAACTCTATTAATATAATTTCTACCTTATTTTCAATTCTGGCGCATAAGTAGATGAGACCAAGCTATTATGATTTGTGTCATTGTTTGGGTGTCCTCCAAAGACCCTTGTGTTAAGAGCTTTATCATCAAAGTGTTATGTTAACGAGATCAGGATGGAATTTAATTCAATTTGACTGTGGGGCCTTGGATTAAGTTGTTGGGGCTGGACTTTACAAGGAGAGACTGCATACAGTTTGGATGACTTTCTGTCTCTCTGTGCTTCCAGGATGTGATCTGCATATGCCACACCAAGGTGGTCAAACTAATAGGGCTTATCTGATCTTGGACTGTGCACCTCTCAAATTTTGAGTAGAAAAAAGCATTCTTTCTTCCTAAGTGGTATTCTCAAGAATTTGTCCAAGTAATGGAAAGCTGTCAGATACACAAAATTTGGGGTTTCTTTAACTTTAAATCTCTTCAGTGCAGCGTACTGGTGGATTGGCTTTTGAGAAGAGTCTTTATGTTTCTTTTCTCCAATGTGCGTGAAATAATAGAAGGCATGGTCTATAGTTATAAGGAGGATGAAGTGAGGTGGTACATTGGGAGCATTGTCACAACTAACAATTACTGTTAGCGTCTCATTTTTTGGTAGTAACAGATCAGTTGAACTCATCTTCTTATCTTCTTACCACATACCAGTATTACAGTGATTGACACTTGATCTAATATTAATGCTGTTGTAGTCATTGGTGAGTTCACTCAGAACAACAATTTCAAGGAGAAATACTATGTGTTCACTATTTCAGTGCCTTCAATATTTGTTAGAAGATAGCATGAAATGACAATCAATCAATAGACATATTTGATGATTGACAAAAAACTGAATTAATAAGATACAAAATAGTTCTGAAGCCAACGTTGTGCTATAGTGGCTAAAGCCACTGCCTGCAGCTCCGTCATCCCATATAGGTTCCAGACTGAGTCTCAGCTACTATACTTCTGATCCAACTCTCTGCTAATGTGCCTGGGAAATCAGCAGAAGGTGGCCCAAGTGCTTGGGCCCCTGCCACACATGTGGGAGACATGGAAGAAGCTCCTGGATCCTGGCTCTAGACCTGCCCGGTTCTGGCCATTGTAGCCATTATTAGAATGAACCAACAGATGGAAGATCTCTCTGACATACATTCCCCCCCACCCTCTCTCTCTAAGTTCTGACTTTAAAGAAATAAATAAATTTAAAGAAAAACAATATATAAGAACAAAAACAATAAAAGAAGCAAAATATAAAAGTGTAATTCCCTCTTATAGGCAGCAATACACTATAATATTAAAGTCATATTTAATTATCCAGCCATTTTTATCCTATAGTTATGATTCAGACTTTTTTTAAGGATTTATTTATTTGTTTGAAAGACAGAGTTACAGAGAGGCAGAGGCAGAGATAGGTCTTCCATTAACCGATTTACTCCCCAAATGGCTGCAATGGCTGGAGCTGTGCTGATCCAAAGCCATTAGCCAGGAGCTTCTTCCATGTCACCCATTGGGGTGCAGGGTCCCAGGACTTGGGCCATCTTCTACTGCTTTCCTAGGCCATAGCAGAGAACTGGATAGGAAATTGAGCAGACAGGATTCAAATTGGAGCTCTTATAGGCTGCCAGCACTGCAGGTGGTGGCTTTACAGCTATGTCACAGAACCGGCTTCATGATTCAGACTTTGACCAAAATTCGGAGTGGAGTTAATGACGTTAAAATTTAAATAGATCAGACATTTGGCCTAATATTTAAGAAGTCATTTTAGCAGCCGATATTAGCATATCTAGGTTGAAGTTCTGGTTATGGCTCCTGATTCCCTCATCCTGTTAATTTAAAACATAAGAGGGAGCAGGAGATGGCTCATGTAGCTAAATCCCTGTCAGCTACTGGGTAACCCAGATTAAGTCTCTAGTTCCTGACTTCAGGTTGGCCTGGCCCCAGTCATAACAAGAATTAAGGGAACAAACTAGTGTGTAGGAGCTTTCTTTTATCTCAATTTCTCAAATAAATAAATATTTTTAATCATGGAGAAATGGAATTAAAAAGATCATTCTATTTTTAAAGTGTTTGAAAATTTGAATGTTTGGTATTTCCTCCTACAGCTTCTCCAAACTAAATTCACCACTGGATATCACCTAGAGGTAATGTATTAGTCTATTTTTCCCCACTGTAATAAAATACCTGAGATAACTAACTTGATAAACAAAAAGCATTTACTATGGTTTATGATTTGGAAATTACAAGATCCATGGGGCTCATCTGATAATGGCCTTAGAGCTGACAAAGTCTTGAGGTAGTGCAAAGAGGACACCACATGACAAAAGACAAGGGGTATGATGTCTGTGTCTATGCTTCTGCTTATGAAACCACGGGGATACAATTGTAGTGGCTTCACTCTGATGAATTTATCTAACCCTTATCATGTCCAAAAAGTTTCTACCTATAAATGTCATAGTCAGATTAACTTCTACTCTTTTAATACCTCAAACAGGGATCAAATTTCAACACATTATATCATGGAAAGCCCTCAAACCATTGCCAAACCACAGAAGAAACAGACTTACTCTCTACCTGAGTCAAGCAGAGTATTTGGAATGGACATGATGATTCACCTCCCTACCAAGGTGGGTGTGGTAGCTCTCCTCTGACTAACTGGATGGAGAGGAAGGGAGACCTCTATTGGTGCAATCCCTCCTTCTCCTCCAAACTGAGGAATGCCCAGTTGTTAGTCCCCAATGTGTTCAACATTCATCTGCACTGCTGTATGAACCACACATATGATCTGTGGAGTCCTTCCTGTGAGCACAGTTCTCTCTGCTATGAGCCACTCTAGGTAACCAAGGAGCTCTGTTTGTAGAAATACTGTGTTATTGCCCAGAACCCAGCTACACCCTGTTTCCTCTCATGTAGTCACAGTGTTTTCTCAGTCTCAGCTTCCAGTGCTTTCAAGGTCAAGGAGTGCCAGTGAGATCACTGGGCCCCACTAGCCCATCCTATCCACAAGGAAAGTAAGGTATTCCCAGAGCCACTGTCTGTGTGTGTTCCAGCCTGCTGGATTGAATGTAATCTTTCCAACTAGTTTTGATGTCAGTGGGGAATGAGGGTCTTTCTGGTAAGATTTCTAGTTTACAGGCATGCAAAATACCCACCAGCAATCCCTTAACAATTGTGCTGGGTGCCAAGGGGAGTCCCACAGGTTGGCACTTCCTTTCCATTTGGATGGCTCCTTTTCCCCTCCCATTGCTACGTGGGTACAGCTGGCACAATGGAGACTGTTTCCCTTGGTTGCTCTTGCACTGCTGTGGTTGCCCTCACCAACTGGATGGAGGGTGACCCCCATAATTGCTGGATGCACAGATACGATCTGGGTCAGCCACTAGCTGCCTGTATCCAAAAATGGTGCCATCCTTCCTGCTGACTGCAGGTCTCTGTTGTAGCAGGAAGAGGGGGAGAGAAGAGAGATGTGCTAATAGTTAATCTATTTCAATGATTTAAAAAAAAAAAACCTAGTTTTATATTTCTCTGATCTATTGTATTTTTATTTCTTCTCTAATCTTCATTATTCCTTTACTCCTACTAACTTTGGCTTATGTTTTTCTTGTTTTCTTGAGATACAGTCTCAGATCATTGTTTGATTCCTTTCCAATGTTATGCTGTTGGCACTTATTACCATGAACTTTCCTCTTAATACTGGTTTTGTTGTGTCCCATAAGCTTTGATATGCTTCATTTCACTTTCATTTGTTTCAATATTTTTTTTATTTTTGTCTTGATTTCATCTATGACCCACTGTTTATTCCGTAATATGCTGTTCCATGTCTATGTGTTAGTATAATTTCTACAGTTACTTTATATTTAATTTCTAGCTACATTCTATTGTGATAATCAACATACATGATATAATTTTCATTTGAATTTGTTGAGACTTGTTTTACAGCCTACAATATGGTCTATCATTGAGACTGTTGCATACACTGATGAAAATAATAATGTGTATTCTGCTGCTATGATGAAATGTTCCATTTGATATATATAGTAGCTATAGGTCCATTTGATCTATATAGTAGCTTATATCTGTTACTGATCTTTTGTCTGATGTTCTGTCCCTTGATAAATATGTGGTGTTAAAATCCTGCATTATTGTTATTTTTGAGTTTGTATTTTCTTAAGATCCATTGAATTTGTTTTATAAAACTGCATGCCCTGATGAAGGTGTTTATACATTTACTATAATCACTTCTTAATTCTTACTATAATCAATTCTTAATGAATTGATCCCTTAATGACTATGTAATAACCTTGTCTCTTTTGACAGCTTTTGTCTTAAAGTCTATTTTTTCTAATATGAGAATAGCTACTCTTGTTTATTTTTTATTTATACTTGTATGGAATATCTTTTTCAATCCTTTTATTTTCAGTCTTTTGAATGTTGGTAAGATATGTTTTTTGTAGGCAGTATTGGTAGTATAGGTGGGTCTTTTATCTATCCCTACAGTTTGTATCTTTTAATAGGAAAATTTAGTCCATTTATGATCAAGGTGAATATTCATGAGTTATTTCTTAGTTCTGCCTTTTCTCCATGAATATTACCACTGTTTTGAATCTCATTTGTTCTGTTACTAGGAGGTTTCCTGTACTTATATTATTTCATGATGCTGAATGCCTTTCCCTATTTCTTTGTGGAGTATGCCCCTAAATATCATTTGTAATGGTAGACAAATGGTGGCAAAATATTTAATTTTTATTTCTCTTGGAAGGTTTTTATTTCCTGTTCATTTATGTATGAAAGCTTCACTGATTAAAGTATTCCAGGATGGCTTGGGTTTTTTGTTTTTGTTTATTGTTTGTTTTGTTTTTGTCTTTCCTTCTTTCTTTCTCTCTGTCGCTCTCTGTGTCTCTCTTTCTCTCCCTCTCTTTGCTTTCTTCTTTCTTTTTTACTTTCTTTCTTTTCTCTCTCTCTTCTTCTTCTTCTTCTTCCTTTTTTTTTTTTTTTTTTTTTTGTAGGACTTGCACTGTATCTGTCTTTTATTTTCTGGCCTGGTCTGTGGGATTTCTGTTGAGTAATCTGCTGTTAATCTGAGGGAAGATATTTTACACCTGATTTGTTGTTTCTTTCTTGCATAGTTGAGTATATACTCCTTACAGTTTACTTTTGAAAGTTTAACTATAATGTGTTGTAATGAGGATATTTTCTGTTCATTCATATTTGGAGTTCTATGTGCTTTCTGTATTTGGATTTCCATATATTTCTCCAAGGTGGGGAAATTTTTTGATATTATTTCAGTGAGTAAATTTTCTAACCAATTCTTTTTTCTATATATTCAGGAATTCCCAATATTTGAATATTTGGTTGTTTGATGATATCCCAAGGATAAAAAACACTATTTTTGATCTTTCTAATTTTTTCTTCTTTTTTTTATCTTACTGAGATATTACAAAACACTTACCTTCTAGACAATATTATTTCTTCTGCTTCACCAAGTATGCTATTAAATCCTACCACTATATATTTATTTGACTTTATTGAATACTTAATTCTAACATTTGTCTCTGATTTTTATGAAATATCTATCTCTGTACAATTTCTTGTCCATGTTGTGTTCTTGAGTAACTTTATTACCATTCTTTTGAATTCCTTTTCAGGCTTTTCATTGATCTGTCCTTGACAGACCAACATTAATGGGTTATTCTGTTTTTTTTGAAGAGTAATATTGGTTTCCTTATTTATTTTTTTTTCTTTTTGATTCCTCATTGATTTTTATGCATTTTGGGCATCACTAGCTCTTATCTCTTCTATAGGATGGAATTTTCTATTTTGATTGATGGTATTATTCTTGGAAAAGACCTCTCTGGGTCAGTGGTGTGTCTTAGACTTGTGTGGGAGTTCCAGGGATGTGTGCTTGGTGAAGCCATGGTGCTCTAGACACCATCTGGATGGAAAAAGAGTCCAGACTGACACCAAGTTGGGCATGGTGTAGCACCTCTGGTTAGTCAGTAGGGGAGGGGATGGTGGAGCTGACTAGTGTGTTTGCAATCCAAGCTTTTCTCTGTGCCAAGATGAACCAGATGATTCACACTCCAGAGTGAGCTCATGTTAACTGTGTACCCCAACCACCCAGGCTTGTGTACCATATAGAACACTGACCAACACTGTGGTATATCTCAGGTGAACTCTGTGAGATCTATCCCATGTTCAGGGACCTCTATGTTACCACAGTCTGACTGCATGGGTGCACATACCCAGGTGCAAACTGTTCCCATCTCCTTAATCTACAGCCAGAATATTCACCACCACAGGCTTGAGGGGGTCTATTCTCCTGCCATTGAGCTGCCCTACCCTTGGTGCATGACAGAGTCCAGCTGCAGGGCTACCTCGGCAAACTGAACTTGTGTGTTGGTGGGGAGACAAGAGAGAAGCAATGTGGTTTCCTTTCACAGTGTAAAGTGCCTGGCAGCTCCATGCCAGTTCCCCAACTGGAATCAGAGAGCCAGTGAGAACTGTGGGGGTTTTCCCTCAGTCAAAGCCACCAGTGCCATAGACTCCTCTCACCTTGCCCGGGAAGATGGCAATTCTTTATCAGGTGAAAGCTATGAATATGCAGGAATCACTGGTGTCACTTTGCTAGCAGTCACATGTTTGTCCGCTCTCTTCACTGATCATGGAGTCTCTGTTCTGTTTTGATTTTGCACTGAGATTTTCTCTCACTCGTCTCCTGGAAACATGGTCTCCTCTTGTTTCTCTAGTATCTGTGGCTGGAGTCAGTGTGACTTCTCCCTTTTCAGCCATCTTGTATATCCCTGAATTCCTAAACTATCTATTTTTAAAAAGAGTTTGTTAGACAAGTCTTCTTCCCTTGCCATTTTATAATACATTACAATTATGTAAAACAGGATGATTACTCACCTCCCCATCTTAATTGAAACATTTTCTTCCAGTATTTTCAGCTGTCTTTATTATCCGACACAAAATTTGTGGATGATAAATAGGAGAACTTAGAACAGAACTCAATTACCCTCCAGTTAAATAAACATTCATTGTCATTGAACCATGATGTTTTGTTAAGTCATCCTTGGTAATATCTATGTATGTATTAATGCTTTAAGAATTATATTCAATGCATGTGTGAAAAAAGCAGATTATGCTACTATCAAACATATAAGCTTTGTTTAACATTTAATTGCTCATAAGCATTATGAGCTTAGTTTTTTCTCACAGGTACATTAATTGGTAAGAATTTGATATCATAGATTTATTTTTGAAGTGTTTTGTAAGACTATGAGAGAAAATAGGGGCTCCTCAAATAATAATAAATCTTTTAAAGAGATTTTACATATGTCATTTTGCCTGATTCACTGTTTATATAAAATATGAAAGAATCTATACTCTTGAAGTAAATATTCATGTCTATTTATTATCTTTTTAAATATAAACTGTATTTTTCAATATACTGTCTACATGAGTATTTCAAATGAAATTTTATTTCAATTATGTGAGGTTGTCTAAATTATTCCTTTCTGAAATTTATTTTTAGATTTCTGCTATATGTAAGGAAAATTTTCCAATTAGCAGCAACATATTTAAGTGTAAAATCATATTGGTTTGAAACTCAGCGCAAGCTGAAAGA